GCTCAACTACCGTCGCAGCATACGGCCCGACTATGTCAGCGTGACACTGAGCCAGTCTGGAATCATTATTTTTCCTTGGCTTTTTCCCCCCTTTATTTTTTTTTTTTTATCTTTTTTCCGACCCAGGGCCACAGTTGTTTTTTTTTGTTTTTTTTTGTTTTTGTTTTTTTTTGCAATGATCTTCAGCCTGTACAAGGCTCAAGGTCCACTCGAAGTAGAGGGTTCCAGTGTAAGAGGCACAGTTTATGAGGATACACGGAGAAGATAACAGTCGAACAAGCCAAGATTGTAGTACCCGGGGAAGCATCCTTTTGGGGATCAGTTCCACAAAGAATCGGTTCGTGGGCAGAAGCTGCTCGAATGGAACTTAAATCTCACTATTTGAATACATAAGGAATGGGGTTAGTTCGCTACAATGTGTGTAAATGAAAATCAAACCTGTGACACGAGTTTGCCAGATCAATTTAGTTTTGTTTGGTTTGGTTTGTTTTACAGCATATCAACCTCAGTGGGTTATTTAATGCCGACAACATTTTTAGCATAGATTCGTATAAATAGAATATGTATTCTTTGGTTTAGATTGGTTTGGTTTATTTTGTTTTACGGCTTATCAACCTTAATCGGTTATTTAATGCCGACACATTGTTTTATTGCTGGTAATATTTTGTTTTGTCAAAAATCTGTTTCTGGTAATATTTCTCCTTCGAAATTGTATTGCTGGTAATATTTTTTTTCAAAAAAGTATTGCTGGTAATAGTTAACTATTTGCCCATAGCTGGGACCCTAATAGGTGCTACCATCCCGGGTCAGGGTGGACGTGGGAGCACCAGCAATTAAGAAGTGGTTCCATGCTCCTCAAAACCTCCTGATAAGAGGCCTTGCTGTTGGATGTAGTTTATCATCTTACCCAGGACGCGGATGTAATTTAACGTTTTACCCAGGACGGCCAGATCAATTTGATAATTACGGCTTTGTATTCGTCAGCATTCTATGAATACACGCGTGTTTCTGTGTACTTCTTCATAATGTCGACCTGAAAAGACGATCTTAGCGTGCGGCACGCTTAGGTATTTTTTTTTTTAATACTTTCATCCCAAGCGAGACGATAATGTCATTAAGACACATGGAAGTTACCGAGAGTGAAAGACAATGAAGAATCTATAGTTAGGAAGAAGGACAATAAAAGAACTGGTTTCAGGAAGACAGCATATAGCGATTGGCGTTGAAGAACGTAGGTGGCAGGCAAGAAAGAAACCGGAAGACAGTTCCACAGGCAAGGAGCGCGAGAAAAGAAAGTATTAGAATAGAGTTTACGGTTACATCTATGTAATTCAACACTAAAACAATGAGATTTAATTGCCAATCTAGTAATACGCTTAAATTCATGCGGTCGGGATACCAAGGAAGTGAACTCATTATAACAACTGCTGTTATGTATATCTTCTGTCTGTCATCTTCCGCCAGGGTGGCAAAATGTTTTTGAAATCTGGAGATGAAAGAGACATCAATAAAGGAAATTTTAACTTATCTATTTTATTTAACACGACGACGTGTACATTTCTAACTAGCCAGTATGGTCGCTTTCTCACTCCCACTGGGGAGCAAGTTCCGAGACACGAAAAAGCTACATCTAAATTGTATGACGTTTAAATCTTAACTCACAGAAATCCCTTTCTACATCCAACATTCCGACGCTAGTTTTTAGCCAATCAAAAACGACTTCCTTTGTTTTCCTGTATCTGACCTCAAAGGTCAAAATGAGGAAGTCAGATCAGAAATACAATACTCTAAAAAATAATAGTCTGCTAGATTATTATTTATCCCTGCCATGAAAATATTTGTGGAAAAGACAGAGGGAAGCCAATTTCCGACGTTTGGAAGTCGAGATGCCAGATTAGGATCGATAACATTACATACCCTTCTTTAGATTTTGTGGAGAATCTCGAAAGATATATAGCAGGAAAACCAGACCAGATATAGAAGCAATATTCAATGCATGGACGAACGATGGATTTATAAATGTGTAAGAAAATTGTTTTGCACGACACTGAACCAACTTTCCTAGCATAAGATCTAGTAATTGATTCAATATAATCATTCCACTTAATGTCAGTGTGAAACGTGAAACCAAGAAAACGCAATGAGTTGCTCTTCTGAAGATCAGCATTAGCCAGGCTGATGGAGAACAGAAATGGCTCTCCATGACGATTAATTGATAGCAGTTTCGTTTTCGAGGCGTTAAATTTCGCAAACCATTTCTTGCCCCAGTTAACAACTGATTGGAGGTCGTTTTCGAGAGCAACTGCCAGTTTTAATTTGTCGGGCCTATCGGACTTACTGTTAGTAAATAGTTTGGGAAATGAGGAAGATCGTTGGTGAGGGTGAGAAACCTAGAGGCCTACCTGAAAATCTTACCACAGGCTAACCCAAGCCTAGTGAGTGAAATTGGGTAGACGGAAATGTCCAGAAGTCATCGATGGTTTAGCTAGCATTTAGTCACATGTAATCGTGACCGACGGTTTGAGCGTATTGGCCTTGTTCCGCTGATTAAAAAATCCCGTCAAATTACGCACTGTCTCCCAGAAATTGTAACTAAGGCCCGTTTAACATAGCTTTAGTATAAGCCACATGCTTGTTCTGCGGGTGTTGACGAAATACAAATATGCTTGAACGGGCGTCTACATCAGCTAGCCACCCGACTAGACGGGTGTACTGGCTAAATGTGCACCGAACCATTATTATTAGAATAGATCCTAAGTAATGTTCATTTATAGGAACCAATTATAATGACTAGTATATCATCCTAACTACTAATTATGTATGGCAGTTAAGAATACATTTGGAGTACACTAACTTATGACAATGTTCAGTGGATTGAGAAGGATAAGTCTTTACAACCGACTCCATGGAAGAAAGGTAATGTTTTCGTATTGTAGGATCGTCGGGGTATTATTCATTTAGATTTCTTAAAACGCATTGACACACCATATGCACATTTATACATCAAGCAGCTGCAACATGTCCATAAAAGTTTGGTGGAAATGCTTGTCAGTAGGGAAAAAAATTGTTGCGCCTCACTAAATGCAAGGCTGTATACAACAAGGATAACATAGGAAACAAATATGGAACTCGGTTAGTCTGTTCTACTCTACCTGCCATATTCCCCTAACCTTGCGCCAACCGATTATTACCGTTTTTGGTCGCTGCAAAGCGCCTTGTTAGAGATAACTTTCTGTAATGAAAGCCAGCAGGTTTTTCACATCAAAACTGGTATCGAAGTGTCACCTGATAGTTTATTGCAAATAAAATGTCACTCAGTAAAGTGTCATACGTGATACACGCTTAGCTGATTATGTCTTTTTCAATTCATGACTGACTAGGCAGAATATTTTTCCCGCGGTAGGTTTCCATTACTTTCAGAGGTAGACTGGTTGCCAACCAAGGCTATAAGACCTAGGCTGTCCTGCTTCTTAACCCATAACTGGGGGGGGAGATGGATTCATTCCTTTCCCAATGGTATTTGTGCGAAAGTGACTGAAACGAACCAAAACTGGAATTCGAACTCGACTCTTCGATTTCACATTCTGTGCCGATATCCATTACACCACAACGCCACATCCCTACTTTTAAAAGAATAAAAATAAAGGTGATAAACAAAAGCGGAAATTATTTATGACTCAACCTAATATTAAGTAGATATTTACTCAACTTAGCCTCGTTTTACAAATGATCCCAACAGTAAAAAGCCAGTGGGGATTGCACACACTGTAACAGTAAATATTCTGCTTAGTTACTTTGTTAACCATTGCCCTACAGCAGGCGCCTTAGCATAGTCAGGTTGAGGACAATAATAAAGGACCAAAACAATTACATGAACAGTAACCATTTACTCTGTGTCAAGTTCCGTTTTATTATGCTAGTCTATCAAACAAGAAACCCTGCGGTAATAATAAACTCTAAGTTTAGCCTGTTAATTACTACTTCACAGCTAGATACACATGATGCTTTGAGTTTCATGCCCTCATATATTACAATGTGTCTCTTGCCACCCATGGTCACATAAAAAAAAAAGACCTGGTAGTGAAAGAGTCTGTGCGCTCACGCAATTGAAATGATGAGATAAAGAAATGAAATCGAAAAGGGCGAAAAAAGTTGGGAAAGACATTCGGGAGTTGCAATTGATCTAAAGAAATGACAATTCGTTGCGCTTCTCTCATCGTCGGAGAAAATATCCTCCGGGCCAGAGAATTATTAACGGCCAAATCTTTTGAAAGAGAATCAGAATGAGTTTCTATTTGTCGGAAAGAACAAATGAGAGGCTGAAATGTTTATGTTGTATAAGCGGTTAAACAGGAAGAATAGTTGACAGAGCGGCAAAGGGACAAAAAAAATGGAAAGAAGATACAATAGCTGAGGAAGAGGAAGAGGAAGGGAAACGAGTTAGTGGGTGAAAAAGAAAGAAAGAAAGAAAGAAAGTGTTAGAGAGAGAATAGGAATAGCCCCCCCAAAAAAACTAACAAAAGAAGAAGATAAATAATAAGAAAAAGATGGCAAAAAGAATGCAAGTAGAAAACAAATTAAAATGGCGGCTAAACATGAAGAAAAGGGAAAAAAAGAATAAGGATTCAAACGAAATCAAAGAGGAGACAAAATCGAAAGCTTTATCATAAAATAATCTAAACAACATAACTGAAACTGGACGTGTGCTGTAGCGCAATAGTGATTGATTGATTTGTTCATTTTTTACGGCTTGTCAACCTTTGTACAACCCAGAAAATAATTTTAGAAAGTCAGAATTTTCTGGAGGTAATAATGACTTACTGATACAAGTCTTACTAATTAACCCATAACTGGAGGGAGAAATGGTGGATTCATATATTTCCCAAGGTTATTTGTGCGAAAGGGAATATAACGAACCCGACTGGAATTTAAACTCGGATCTCCGATTTTCAATTCCTAGCTGTTATCCATTACACCACCCGCAGATCCAAGCTTAGTGTACCTGGTATTCCCAAGCTGTGACCCAACTAGGTACTGACCAAGCCCGATATTGCTTAACTTCGAATATTGTATGAGAACCGGTGTTTCAATAGCGCAATAGGGAGACGGTAAAACTTGCAGGCTATTGTCATTTTCGTTCGAATCTCACTGGACGCCATACTATTTTAGTTCTGTGCTAAGCAAGAAGAAAAAATTGAATAGCAACATATTTACTGGGTTTCTTTCGATATTTATACAGTTTAGCTTAGTATGACACAAGGCTAACTGAAAGAGAGAGAGAGTGTGTGTGTGTGTGTGTGTGTGTGTGTGTGTGTGTGTGTGTGTGTGTGTGTGTGTGTGTGTGTGTGTGCGTGTAGATGGTGTTAAGCTAATCTTCCAGTTAAAGAAATACTACCTTCGCGCGAAAGAAGCAATCGAAGCCCCGTCTCGTACACCGACTTCTGGCACGAGTAAGAAATACGTAACTCAGCCCTGGAAAACTTTCTTTGCGTAGAATGTTATGGATGAATATGGTTGCCTTCCATCCATTAGCGCAACTCTCGGATAATGAGGAATGGCCTATGCATAAAAATACTGCTTTGTTTCTTTTAGCAAATCTCTTGCTATTTCTCTTTCAGTACTTCTTTCCTCTATCTCCAAATGTCATGTATGCATTCTTTTGTTTTAATCAAATATTAATAACATAAAAGTAAGCTTTTTAAAGTACAGCGTGGTCCGAAAGTCTTGTCACCCCTACATAATATATATTTTTCTATTTCAACTCTCTGTCGGGGTATTATCAAGGAGAGAGTTTCAAATGAACGATACCAGAATACCCATCAGTTGCCAGACGCCGTTCGGAGAGCCTTTTCAACAATCAACAAAAGCCTAGCCTCGTAAAATATCGCACAGGACATGGCGCCGCATCATTTTGCGCCACAAAAATGGCGGTGTTCATACAGACGTTCTCGATGTGTGACGGTGTCAATGAAAATGAAGATACTGAATCCAGTACATGAGCTTTGTATTACTGTATTACTTGTTGTTCTATTGTATTACTGTATTACTTGTTGTTCTATTGTTCTCATTACTGTTTTTGGTGCGGGTGACAAAACTTTCGGACCACCCTGTACATTTCCTTCTTAAATACACCATTTTTATAAGCAAGTTCGGATTTTGACCAGTACATGGGTGGTTTCATTTTCAGGCAAGAATTAGTACTCAAGTTGCTTAAATGGTGGCTATTTTTTATGACTGAATGTAATAAACAGAAAAGAAAGTCATTTCTATATAACTAAATTAGTAAAATCCTTGATTACAATATAAAGTAAGGTATGTAATAAATCTTTTAAAAAGGCTCTGTGCGAGTCAATTTTGGGGGTCTTGGTAAGTATCAATTTGAACATAGTTGTCTGGCGTTACAGAATCACAAACAAAGAACTGTACCAAATAACAGAAACCACATCACTTAAGGACTACTAACAGTAGCAACAACTAAAATGGATAATACATCTAACTCAATGAAAAAAATAAAGACATCATCAAGATTACTTCAAATAAAAAGTTAGGAAAGAAATCCCCATCAATACTGGAAAAAGCGATAACAGTTATTGGAGTTTAAAAACCTATTTTTTGAAAAATTATTTCAAGATAAAGATTTTATAACTTTCAACCGAAATCAGTACTGGCTGCTCGGTCAACGAATGCCAAATATTTCCTTAGACTATTATTCCCATTACCATTTTCTTTCATTTTAGGTTTTCTTTTTTTGTTTGTTTTTGTTTTTTTAGTTGTTTAAGATACACTGACGTCAATAGTGGGATTGCTTGAGATTTAGTCAAATATGAGAAACACTGCTTATTAAAATATCGTAGAGTTTATAATTATATATGCGCAAGGTGGTACAGAGATAAATACTTTTTTTTATATTTGTATGCACGTACTTACAGATACACACACACACACACACACATATACACACACACATATACACCTGTGTGTGAAATTCGAATATTATTATCTGTAAAGGTAATATTAATAAAAGAAATTACAAAGAGAAAACCTTTTATGCCAACGCGTTTCGTTAATAAAATCTGAAGTATTTATAAGATTTTATTTAAGATTAATAAGAATCTGCAGCCCCTGATATTTACCTGAAGAAGAAATATCTATTGAAAATACTTTTTAAAAGCTCCAATATCCCTATAATTTCATCTACAATACTATAATAAAAGTATACAAAATCTACAGTAGAAAAGATATTAGTAATAATAATAAGAAATTATATAAGAATATATATATTACATATCAAATCCATAACATAGGCATATAATTCTGCATGCCAACTCCATAACGTCTGCTATACAAAATAATATATCTAATCTTAATATTAAATTAATTACAACCACAGCCCAAACTATAATATGATCAGAACCAAGTATGTCTATAATAAAAATAATTCTCAAGCAGACATACATAAGATATAAAGTAACAGATGTACCTTACAATATATTGGTGAAAGTTGCAGAAATATAAAAAAAACGTATTTATGAATATAAGAAAAATCTCCTACATAGCAATTTATCCAACGCCTCAGAAATGACTTCAACCACAATTTCGATCTAAAAACTACTGTACTTATTAAAAGATAAATTAACTTAGATGAAAGGTAAAGTGTAACGATGTGTTTTGCCATAACATTAAATTAAGACCTGACTGTTTTTTTCCAGATATTTCCTTATTTAAAAGAAATGCTTATTTCTCAAATCAATATATGTATGACTATAAAAACTTTTAAAAAAATCTTTAAAAAAATTAAAAGAAAACAGTTAACTTTGAAAAATAATGAAATTAATTAAATTAGAATATTTTAGGGCGTTCTCTAATTCAAAATTTAAACCCTTAAAGTTATTTCTCTCCAATTTACTTCAATGCATAAATATTAGTTCTAAATAAATTTTCTCGGCTTGCTTTGATAAAGATTCTTCAGGAAGGAAACGCATTCACATAAAAGGTGTGTGTGTGTGTGTGTGTGTGTGTGTGTGTGTGTGTGTGTGTGTGTGTGTGTGTGTGTTGTTATAGATCATGCAAAAGCGTTTGATAAACTACGACACAAAGTACTATTGGAACTGCTAGTTAACAATGACATATTTAGGAAGTATATTAAAATATTAGAATATCCCAGAATATTAGAATATGAGGATTGATATTAAAATATTCTAGAATATTAGAATATGAGGAAGGATATTAGAATATTCCAGAATATTAGAATAGGGGAAAGGATATTAGAATATTCCAGAATATTAGAATATGAAGAAAGATATTAGAATATTCCAGAACCTATACTGACAGCAAACCGCCTGCATGCGGATCGAAAATGAGTTCAGTAAATATTCAAACATAGAAAGGGATGTAAGACAAGGATGTGTCTTCTCACCAGACCTATTCAACCTATAAAACGATTCTGAGAGCATTAGAAGTTCTACCAGGATTTATTATTGGCGGCCACAATCTTAACAACATAAGATGTACAGATGACACAGTGTTGATAGCAGACACAGAAAGGAAATTATAAGATCTCCTACAGAAGGTAATGAAGAAAGGACTAAACATAAATTTCAAGAAAACAGAATGCATGATTGCACAGAAAAGAAACAATACAACAGGCAAATTACAAATTGGAGATACCAAAATCAAACAAGTACAGAATTTAAATATCTGGGAAGTATTTTAACAGAGGATAGTGAAAGATGCCTTACAAAAGCTAAGCAGAGTATTAAAAGAAAAGAAAAAGTTCATTAGTAACAAAGAAAAGAATATTGAACTGTTGCGTAATATCGGTCCTCCTATATGGCAGTGAATGCTGGACAATCTCCTCATACATGAAGAATAAACTTCAGAAACAAGAGAAATATTGTTTTAGTAAAAGATGCTGAGAATAACATGGACCGAACATGTGAGCAACAAGGAAACTCTATATACAATGGAAACGGAATGGACACATATACATTTGGTACTCAGAGGATAAATTGAAGGCAAGGGGAACGGAGGAAAACAACGCATTACCTACCAAGTGAACTGTGTAAATGGATGGCAGAACAGGGTTTAGAAGAGATAACGAAAGGAAAAAATCATTAAGAGCTACAATGGACAAGAAATTGTGGAGGTCCATGATCGCAAACGTCCTGAAGAGACGCGGCACATAGAAGACGCGAAAGGATAGAAGAATAGGCTTAAACTGCCTTCCCAACTCGTGGGCAAGTAATCACAGCCTCATGCTCGTTTAAAAAACGAACCTGTTAACCTCACTGGCCACAACGCCCATTCCATACACACACACATATATATATATATATATCACGATGACCTTAGGCGGTAAGGGGAAATGCTGGAATTTATTTAACAATCCTGCCAGGCCAGACATTTTGTTGAATAAATCACACAACAGTTTTCCTTTCATCACAATACCACATTGACAGAAGTCACATTCTTACACATACACGCGTGCACAGTCACACACAGAGACACACAGACACACGTACACACAAACGCACACGCATTCGCGCAAACAGAAATTTTTTCTTTATCGAAGACTTCCTCAAACCTAAGACGATGTTCATATTTAAAGTTAAAATATTACATGGCTGAACCAAGCGAGCGCACTGAAGAGACACTTTTATAGCCCCCATCATTTCCATGACAATATCGAAGTGCACTTGGCTTGGTTAGCTGTGATATTTTGAAAAAAAACACCGTGTGGTTTTGTATCGTTGAGCCAAGAATGGAAAATGAAATTAAGTCGAGTCGAGCAACAACTGTCTCTAACCAAGAAACTTCAGTTCAACATTAAATTGATTTTCTTTAGAAAAATTATGTAACATACCTGCTACTACCCTATAGACAGCACTATGAAGCATAGTATAGTATGACATACACGTGTGCGTACATGTTATTACTCTATAGACAGAGTTATAGATAGTATAGTATAATGTACCTGCTTTTATCCTAAAGACAGCCCTATGAAGCAAACAGCCCTATGTAGCACAAATATGAAGAATAAAATATAATATATATACGAAAACAAATCCACATTATAACCAAAAAGCGTTTGCGGTTAATAT